ACGGGGACGAGATCCGCTTCAGTTTTACGGTGATGGCTTTTCCGGCAACCCCTGATGAACTGCGGTGAGAAATCGCGTCTTCAGGCCGAAGTCGGAGAGAGCAGCAGACGAGACCCAGAACTCTTTGAGGGCCAACCGGCAAGCTTCCAGATCTGGTGCCGTGCAAATCTAGAATCGATGCTGGAGATGGGTCTTGAGTCACTGAGATTGGTTCTACTCCTTTAAATGGATCTTCGGTATCGCCGACTGAGAAGAGAGCAATGGACGGTTGTAAATGTAGTAGGACCCAATATGGAAACACAAATATTAGAATCAACAGGAAATATTTAAGACACTCTTAAAACACTTCCATTAACACAAACGTAGCACTGCTACAAGCAACTCCTGTTGCACGAAATCCAGATTACACACTCTTACAACGATGGGATAAAACACGCAACCTAGTCTACCCAAGAACACACGACATCTTACACAACAAGATTCGTGTTTATCCAACTGTTCCCAATCTACCCAGAAGAAACAGTAAACATTTTCTTCTTGCTCACTCTTTTTGTTCTTGAGTTCTTATGCAAGCATGCACTCTCAATCTCTCTCCTGATTTTTTCCAAAAAGAACTTCTCTCTGAAGCCTCCTTTGCACCCACATTATATTGGTTCTCCATTAACCAATATTTCTAAAGGAGCATGTTTCGGACCAGCAAACAATCCACTGTTCTTGCGCAGAGAGCCACTGTTTCACCCCTATCACTTCACTCTGTGCAACGTGCCAACCTTATGCTTTTTGCCTTTTGCATAAGGTCACTTCCTTGTTAGCTGAACCAACTTCTGCACGATCTCTCCCACTTGCGTTCCCATGGCTCGAGACACTCATTGTGATTCACACGTGGGATGTTGACTTCACACGTGTGACACTGACTTCAGCTTTGCTCGTTCTCCTGTGTAGTACAGGAATCCTCACATCTTCTTTGATCCTTAGTTGCCATCTTTGATGCATCTACAACGGTGGAGCCTGAGCCGAATTGGATATGTGTGCGGCGCTGGTGGTCAATGGTGGATACGAGCGAGGTGAGATTGTTGCTGGAATAGAGAGCAGTAGACAAAGAAAGAGTAAACGAGATGAGAGGGGCCATCGGCCGGCGCCGTCGAGCAAGAGGCCCACTTGCGCCGGAGGGAGATAATCTTGTAGGTTATTCAATAATCGTGCCTGGGAAAAGAGAGTAGGGAATAGTTTTAGTTGATATTATGATTATTAATAATTGTATTTTAGA